CCCCAAAACCCCAAAACCCCAAAACCCCAAAACCCCAAAACCCCAAAACCCCAGATTTATTAAATAGTATTGAAGCGCCACTAATGGATGCGGGATTTCACCCAGATTTGATAGATAGTTGGTCGAATATCAGTTGAGATTACCCCTTCCCAATTTTGGCTTTTTAAGAGCCTATTTTAATACCACTCTCAGGGTGTGCTTCGAGGAAGGAAATTACAACATTTTGTCATAATGTGGGTCTCTTCTGGTCCGGAATTTGTAAGTTTATGAAATCTTGAGGGATCACCTCGAATCGAAGATGAGTGGGAGATGATAAGGATTTGGATATACAACTTCTTAGGTCCGAGTCTAGCTCATTTAGACTAGTTCGCCCCTATCTAATCATCACTGTTTGTCCACATGTCTCTTGTAAGGTCAAACCTTTGAGATTTAACCATAAATGGCAACAATTTCTGTGCTTTTAGTTTCAGAGTTGCCCACTCAGCAGATTGATGTAGGTTAAGTTACTTGGCAGGTTGGTATACTAGCCAGTTTTGCTCAAAAATATCCCATATTTTTTGTTTGCTGAAAAGTTAAGTCTGGGTGAAATTCTTTGTAATTTTGAGATCCAACTGGATTGGTACGGATCAGAAGGAATCCTGAAGATAAATAAAATAGAATGAAACCTGTGACGGTCACCTATGTTTTGGGAGCCAAAGGAGGTGTATAAATCTGTCTACACTTTTCGGTCTAATCCTTTATTACTGTTTTGTTTCTGACTAGAATGAAATCTTCACACTGTTGATTACGTATGCAGTGTCTCTAAGATAAATTCAATGAATTTTTTGAAAACTCCGATGATAAAATACTTGGGGATTTCTTGTAATAGTCTCAGGGTCATTGGTGGACCTTCCTCGAAGAAAGTTGGTACTATTAGAGTTCGTCAGGCTGATTTTAGTTCCATTTTCGGCTAAAAGTTTAGTGACTCTTTGAAAGTCACCAAGAGAAAGAACAAATATGCTTTTAAAGCCCAAAATTCTTAAGGAAGTTATAATAATTATGGACATTGAGAAGTCATTTAGTGAATCAGAATGGGAATCAGAGTACGTTTAGCTTAAAAAGTAGCTGAGACATCCTTAACCCTCCTTTCTCGCAGAGGAAGTTTTGTTTTAATTTCATTTCCTTTACGCTTTCAAGAACGTCTGGTCAACATATTTTAGAGAATGTAATTCTGGAAGAAGAGGAAGCAGCCAAAGTAAGACTTGCAGGTTATCTTTAGAGAAGTCTAGCAGGACTCATTATACCACAGAGATGCTTGAGACACTGAATAAATGGATAGAAGACCATCCTGACTATCCCTATCCGAATTCAATCGAATTCAAAACTCTTAGTGTAGAGACAGGTCTTAGTGAGAGACAAGTACGTGTATGGTTCACGAACACGAGGAAGGTAAGCACCCATAATTTATTTGGTGTTAAATGAGTGCACAAATTTTGACTTTAACAGTTTGCTAATGATTAGAGGAGACTAGGAATAACGCGTGAGGAATTCAGGCTGAAACAGAATACATTTATCCGAACTCGAGCTGAAGGAAGAGAACAGCCAATTGTTCTTGTAAGTCAAGCTTCTTGAAGATATAGTTAAAATGTCTAGATTTTTCTAATTTTTCTAGAAATAGCGCTCCTGTCCCGACACTTGACCAGGCTGTACAAACAGAGCCACTTGTGGAGGCAAACTTAATGTCAAATTCTCAACAAAAAGAACTGAGAGCAAAGGCTCGGATGGATACTTATTTGCCGTATAGTCACTTTATCAAGAATGTTTACTTCACGGCAGAGATGGTTGACCTCAACGAGATGTGTCTCTGAGATGATAGGCTAGCCAAATATCTCGGAGAACTAGGCTACTGCGACTGCTCAAGGCCTTAGCCTGGCTAGACTCTTTCGGCAGCCACTAATTTATTGCTCTTTTAATAATTTCTCTGCTAAAAACTTTAATGATTGATGTTCAGGGGCTCATGAAATTTGGAAAATTTAAGAATTTGCATATCTCGGTGAAAATTCTAGAACAAGAGTCCTTCAGGATATTCTTAGACTAGGTCCATGAGTTTTCACCCTCTATTTGCTAAGACCTCCATTCGGTCTGAACTAATCAAATTTATTCACAATTCCTGCGCCAGAAAGATAACTTATGGAAGCAAAGTTATTGTGTTAAAATATTTTCTAGAAAAAGAAATAGAGATACTAGGATTAACTGTGATTAGCTGGCCAAGATTTTCAGCAAACTTTTCCCACAAGCTGCTTCATTATTTTGGCATTATGAGACAGCATATCGCGTTGGAATAATGGGAGATAGCCAACTGTTCCTTGCTTATGGCTCAGGATCTTGCTTAAATTTTTAAGGTAAATCCAGATTTCATGGAGTTCTCAGAGATGCACTCTGCTAAAAATGGAAGATATCGCTGAATTTCACCTAGGGGTACTTTTAGTAAATATTTCACCAAGATGTAAGAGGCTCTTGGAGGGAATAAAAATTATAGAATTTTCTGAACTAGCTCATATTCTAATTTTTCATGCTGAAAGCATGCTACAAAGTTTGGAAAATACCAAAACTCATAAATGGACTCTTCTAGATTACTTATAGACGCTGTAGAGAGTTCCTGGACGGCTAGGTTTGGCTTATCGAGGTTTTTTAGCTCTTTTTCACCGGGATTTTATCCAAAAATATCATATTTATTAAAATCTCAATATTAGCAACATGGTCAGGGGTTTTGGGGTTTTGGGGTTTTGGGG